CGTGTGGTCCGGCCTACAAGGGAACGTGGGGAAAATGAACGTAATTAACATCTGAGAAAAGAGGTTTGTGATTTATTTACCTTTTTACTTTGATATTATTGCTAAGTTTGTTGGTAATAAAGCAGAATCATTAAAACAAGGGCATGAACGGAAAGTCAAGTACTGAGACGAGATTATTTTAGCAAATATCTCGATAAGGATATATACCAAATTGAACACAGAATCTAACTGAGAAACTCTTAGAAGCGGGGTTTTTTATTAACAAAAGAGGACATTTTAAAGCTTCCTGGAAATTTGAGCCATTTTATCCACTCACTAATTGTCTTTTGAAGAATGTTTGTATCACCACATTTGTCACAGAATTACTTGGTTAAAACTGCTAACTTGAAAGGTGAGAAAGTCATTTTAATTTGCGTTTTTTGTTTACTGGTGAGATATTTTTTCATATGCTCATTAGGTGTTTATATTTTGTCAATATTTCATCTTCTGCCGAATTTTTACTCTGTTCCTCATGTGTTTCTAGTAGTTTTACATGAGCTGATTATATATATACATTTTGAAACACATACAGACTTGGAAGATTCATTAGATATCTACATATTATTAGAACTCATCCAAATGAAAAACTTCTCTTAAAGAATGAAAATGAAAGCGTCTGTGCTGCGTTTGTGCTGGTGAACGGCCACCAGCTGCTTCCTGCAGGAAGGTTGGATACGTGCAGGTGGGGCCAGGATAGTTTTAGGAAGCAAATCTTGCGCTGCGCAAATACGCTACACCTTTCCATTTGGAAGATGTGAACATGGTCTGGCAGATTTGGAGGACAGGAGCTGAACTGCTCAGGTCTGGGCCCAGCTTGTGCTTGTCGCAGTGTTTGGTTCTGTGTTTACTGAGTGAGTGAGAATGGACAGTTTGCTCTCCCTGTGGGATATAGGATTAAAGACCAGTCTTGCTGGTTTACCTTTGTAGACTGACATTGAGCTTTGAAAGACTACCCATCAGACTGATAGATGTATAATTTGGACTTAACAGAGGTTCGTAATTGGACAGCATAGACTAGTTCATTTTGAGAGGACTACACCAGAGGAATAAATGAGAAAAAACAATTTAGGAGAGATCGGGGACCACTGCGGAAGGCAGGCTATACGTTCACCTGGTGGAGAAACATCTCCCTCTGGTATTTTATAAAATACGTTATACCTGGAGTTTCTGTCTCACTGAGGAAATTTTTATAAGTTATATAAACCAACAGTGAAAATTACAGGGTCAAATAGATGGAAGAAGTTGCTCATATAATCAACTATTAATAATGCTTCCAAGTCTAAGTTTTTAATTATTGGCCTTTTCATAATGCCCAAGGCTTTCTGCTGAGATTTGCAACCCAAGTAAAAATGACTTATTTATGAAATTCCTCTGAATCATGTTTACTGCGTTGTCATGCCAGTTTAATGTGGATTCATTAATTAATTTACTTTTTGATGTGTTCCTGTGTGTGAGAGAGCCCGCTTCTCTGCCGTCTTTTCCAGAATGAGAACAAGTGTTTCCATTTGGCAAAGTCTCCTCACTGTCTAGACTCAGATGAGCCACAGGGCAGGGCTCAGGCTGTGATCTGTGACACACCTTTCCAAGGAGGTCGAGGTAGAGGCAGTGTACTTTCCTTGGATCATAGGATGTTGTGTATAGTACCAAAGAGGCCTTGACTCTAAGACTTTTAAACTCCTAAATCTTGCTATTTTTGTGGGTGGAAAAAAGGTTAAATGTGAAGTAACCTGAAATACGTGCTTCACATGGAGAGTTGAGTTTCCAGTCCATCGGCTGCCATTTAACTGCTTAAACAACAGAACGGTGAGAGTTTCTCTCTTGGATTTAGGCAGCTGTCTAAAGTGTCCTATGGGGAGGCATTGCCGCAGTGCAAATGTCCCCTGCACAGAGCTTCTGCATTCAGGTCTCCAGGAGTAAATTTTAACCAATGAAGTGCATTGGTTATAAAAGGGTTTTAGGTTCTTAAATTGGGACCCCTTGGGACGTATATACATTGAGACATCCTAGTCCTGTGTTTTGAGGGAGCTGAGTTTGGATCAAAGTTCAGCATAAGGTAGAGGAAAGAACATAGGTTTTTGATTCAGACAGTCCTGGCTTCAGATAGGATTTCTGCCACTTCTGTGACCGTGGGCAGTCTATTAAATGCTTCTCAGTTTCCTTATTTGTAAAAGGGAGTGATGACACCTTCCTCATAGGGTTGTAAGATAACCATATGGACACAGGGTTTTAAAAGGCCTGTCTTAAATTTCTCACCACACACACACACACACACACACACACACACGTAACTGTGAGGTAATGAATGTGTTAACTAACCTTATTGTGGTAATCAGTTCACAATATAAACTTACATCAAATCATCATATTGCACACCTTAAACTTACACAGTGTTATATGTCAGATACTGAATATCTCAATAAAGCTGGGTGGAAAAGCGCCACCCATGTTTGCCCATAAATGCCACAAAAAATGTTATTGTCCACGGTTTCCATTGTAGCCTACGATACCTTGTGGTGAGAATCCTTATGGGTTTAACACTCCTTAGGAAAGTGGCAAGGCGAACTTTATCAGAAATTCACCGCAGGTAACGTCTATTAAACAATCACTGATTACCTACCAGATACTCTATGATCCAAGGACAGCGGCATGACTTCTAGGGGTGACAGATATTATGTAATAATATAAACATAGACGAGCATGCTAATCACATTAATAATCAGTGAAAGAATGATAAATCCCACTATGTAGATTTGAGGCAGATTTATCCACCCTGCCAAAAGAAAAATCACAAGAGAAATTAAAAACTGCATGACCACCTTCCAGAATCAGACCTGAGGAAACGTCCTTAGTACGTAGCCTGCTCTTGGTAAAACTACCTACCTGGCTTGCACTCCCTTCGTGTCTGGGCTGTTCAGAAAGACTAGCCACCAGCAGGGGACGGGACAAGGCAGAGACCATGGCTTCTCATTCACTTTTCTTAGAGGCTGTGTTTTCTAAGATGAGGCAAAACAGAAAGTGAATTTTGCTAAGTCACGTTTGTGTTTAACTCCTGCTGCGTGTTTGAGTGGAGGCACGAAATGCAGTCCCTGAGCTTAGGGCTAACGCGTGCCCTTCTGTCTCTACTTGTTTTAAAACTGGAGACTCACCACAAACACCTTAGTTTGCAGGTGAGGAGGATACGGGGTGCAGGGAAGTGGCCCAGATAAGGTCCCACAGTAAGCCAACGGCAGAGGTGGGGCTGAAATTCAAGTCCTCCACTTCCCATCCTGGGCTGTGTGATTCCCTCAGTACAATTCTGCTGGACGCTGGCCACTGACACCGAGGTGGATGGACACTCAGCGATGCCAGTATCTTAACCGCAGAAGCACAAAGTAGCTGGTGTGTGTATCTCAGGACAGACTCTCTCTAACATCTACTGTGGAGAGGTGGAATATGAATGGATAATTTGCTCTTGATGAAAGTTTCAAAGATTTAATAATTTCAGAAGTGGTTTTTAAAGGGAAAACGGTTTTGTAGAACAGTTGTCCTTTAACACAGTTGTGTGAGAAAGGTAAGTGTGATCAGGCTAGAGAGCTTCCCTTACTTCCGATTGGAAGATACATGCTTGTTATAATCATCTCCCTTTAAAGAACAATGAACTTGCCCATTTGCTCTAAACATGGAGCACATAGACAAATGATACAACTCAACTTTATTCTACTTCATTATAACAAGAATTTTTAAAAACCATGACCCCACCATTTCTAGTAGATACTTAAATATAAGACATCTCAAATTTAGCACAGATAACAGGCCAATGCGTAACTAGATCTGGGTAAAGTCATGTGAACGAAGTGCTTCCTTTGGAGTGTTTGAGAGGGGAGAGTGTTGGTAGGAAGTCACAGGTGAGGCCCGGGGCCTAGGGGAGAAGGGTGCAGAGTGGGACAGCTCTGGTCTGTGTCCCGTCCGGGCAGACTGAGCAGGTGTGGCAGAGCTCACTGGCCGGGGCAGGAGCGGTACGCATCTGTTCTGGTTCCTCTAACTTCCGCCAAAGCTAACTTTACGGATATGCTCCTTTCTAGCATTTAGAAAGGGTTTTCTCTGCTGCCAGGAAGCAGGGAGCTGGGCTGCAGCGACTGATTATCTGGGAGCAGCCAGGCATAAGCTCAGTGGCTTTGGAAGATTTGGGGGTGGGGGGGATATGGACAGAGAGACAGACTCTTCTTAGATTCGTCTTCCTTTTGTGGACAGGGGAGGAGGGTGCTTGCCGACATTTTCCTGAGTGTGAAAGGAAGAATATAGGTTCAAAAGATTTATAATTGTATGTTAAAACTGAGTCACACTGATATTGAAAAAACAAAAAAGGCATTGTAAACACACTTTTATTTAAAATTCAGATTTCTGAAACAGCTAGACTAAAAGTGGTATCATAGGTCTTTAGCTAAACAAAGCATAGCACTAAAATAAGGTTTATTTTAACTTTTGAAGATTCTTTTTAAAGCACCACTTAAAACGTACATATTGCCCCCAAAATTAAATATAGAAAAAACTGTTCTATCTCAGGAATGAGTCTGAGAATGCACAAGGAAACAACAGAGCCCATTTTTAACCTCTGGTTATTGACAAGGAATACTAAATTCAAAGGGATTTTGATATTTTCCTACATAAAGGCCAACAGGTGCAGAGCCATCAATTTCTTGGTAAATTTCCAGCCTGTGGAGGGCTACAACTTTTCATAAATATGGTTACTGGACAGATTTCTAAAATTTTAATTTGTCACCTCAAAAAAGCAAAGTGTAGGACTTACAAGTTTTTTTTTTTTCGAGAGAGATTGTGAGAAATAACCACAAATGCAGCACATTAGAAAAACTGAAACTAGTCTGAACAATCTCTGAAAACTAAGTTCTGGATTTATTTTGAAACCAACTTCCAAAGGGATAGAAGGAAAACGGTACACGTGTGTGTTACACCGCGGAAGCAGCTCAGACTCGCCAAGACGTCTTCAGAGCGGCCCCTTTGTCCTCTCCCCTCGGAGTCTTGGGTGATTTTCTGCGGTCAGGACAGCGGACCAGCCGGGAAGCCCGTCTGGGGTGAGGGTG